AGTAAATATGTTATTATTATCTAATGTATGAGTAAATATAATTTTTATCTTTTAGTTTTTTTTCTTTTAGATTCTTTTAGATTCTCAGTGTACATGATTTATTCACAATCTAGAAAAATATTTGAATCGTCACAAATATATCAAGTGGTGGGAATATCAACTATGTGAAATTATTAATTAATCAGACATAACTATATGTAATTATTTCTTCTTTCTTTTATGTTGAGCTGTTGTTACTGAGTACTTAAACGTGCAATCTTTTTATCCGGCGACGGATCATACGTTTAAGCACTCAGTAATCCAATTATCACGCGGAATAATCTGACTGAAAGTTGGAACAGAATGCTCACAGCAGTGTCGCGGAGACAGCGTGAATGTGAACGAGGTTTGAGGGAAAGTAAACCATAGCACACGAGTTGAGCAACGTCTGAATCCGACGGCCATTTAGTGGCCAATCACGCGGTTCAGTCAATTTGACCGTGAGACTTCATTCAAGATTAATGCAAAATGCGCATCAAAACATTACCAAATTGCTATATCCAAATCAGTGATTCAACCGAACAGATATAGTCAAAATATCAACTTGTTGCGATAAAAAACGAACATAATGTGTCAGAAAATGTCTGTTTCGTCGGTGTTTAGCAATTTACTTAACATATTCATGTTGAAGTTTTGCCTTTCAAATTTTAATTTGACGCTCATAAACATATCCTTCGCGTGAGATTAAGCCCGCGTCACTTGTTCCAACTATCGAGGTCGGCAATTAATGTCGTTAATCTTTGGCCTAAACGTGCGAGTACAGTCATCAAGAGTCGCTTGTAACCTGACATATTATTTGATTGTAGCCTGCACATTTTCGTATTAAGCTTTTCGGCTCCAATCAACCTTCAGAAACTACTGGAATATCTTAGAGCCGATAGATCATCTAAGCGACGGGGAATCCTATGGTGCAACGAGCCTTGACTTATAATATGCAATTTTGGATCTATTTCGATTAGTTAACAAGTCCTTATGGGATAAATGACGCTTGTTAATGAGCTTTACTTGATTACCGTTTAGGAGAGACCGACTTTAGTTAGCCAAAGGAGTATGTCGACTATATGTACTTGGTTTATTTATGTATTTATTGTGAGAGAAACAGTGGAAACGAAATTGTTAAATGTTATTTTTAGATTATAGTTGCTTTTTTCTGAGTTTCGTTAAGATCAAAGTAATATTAAGAATATAAAGTTAAAAAATTTTTTAAAACTACTTTAGGAGAGAGAGCAGTCAAGTATATTTTCAAGTGTCTCGCAATTTGGTATTAATATTTTCCGTTATGGAACGTAAATAAACTTAAGTTGTTAGTCAGAATGAAATTTCTTACAAGTGTGTGATATACTGTTTTGGATAATAAAAGCAATTTTCATTTATAAAATATTTGAAGTCAAGTACATGCACTGTCATGACAAAGTTGGTCACTATTTAAAGGTCGAGAGAGTTGTGAGGACTTCTTGCAGAGACTCCAAAACTGCAAATGCAAAGAGAATTATTCAAAGTTCAGTTCAATGAAAAGAATGTTTTTTGCATCTAAAAATGAACTCAGAATTGATGACATATGACTAAATTCTTTTTGAATTCTCTGTGCTATCTGGGATCATTATCGAACACAATTACCTTAACATTCTCGAAGCGAACTCAGTGACGATTATTGTACACTTGTTATTCATGCGAGAGAATTACGCACATTCCAATTCTTCCTGATTCACCGTTACCACACAGCGGATACGCTTCACGCGGCACTTTAACACCGTACTTTTGTAATAATAAAGTGTATGACTGCTTCATATACTTTATTGCGATCGTAAATCAGATATTTCTTAAACTTAATAAGATGGGAAATTTTAAAATCCTTTAATTTTTTCATCTCAATTTTGACGTAACTATAAAATATAAAGTACTTGAATAATACTAAATCTCTATAGAAATATCCGGTTAGAAAAAAATATTTTCATGTGATTTGGAAGAGTTGGAATTAATATAAAATAATATCATTAGGATACAAATTTGGTTTAACGTTGGCAATTGGCTGCTAATTGGTGCTCAACGTACTTTAATGAAAAGACCGAAAATTTCTCGATACAGACAATTCGTCGATATTATTATCTTCTCATAGAAATGATTATTATGTGATCTATGTCCTTTAAAAAAAATATTAGTGGTCGGTTAGTAATAAATTGCTATTGCTCAGTAGTTTTATTACTAGTGGCAAATAATTTGGAGTACTTAAATTGTAAGATTACTAATGCTACAGAGTAATTCAGTGATTACGGCGACAGTAATAATCATTGATGTATTATTAGGTTCTTGTGATGAAGTACTAGTGTGAATTATTCCCTAATAATGAGATAAATAGATAGAGATAAAGCATAAATTTTCTCATGATTAGTACGAGTTGTTTCTTATCTTGTATTTTTTAAACTAACTTATTGTTTGTTCTAATGTTCAATTACAATATTTAATTACAATATTAGTTAAAAATTTAAAAGCAATCATGTCGTTAATGGTTCGCTGATATACATTATAACAATATCAGTCGCACTCCAATTGTTGTTTGCATTATTTGTCAATAAATATGCCATTACAATGTTGTTTGAGAACGATATAAGAGCATATTATAAACATAATTAAATAAAGTATTGTAACAGCTCATTAGCATCATGAGTTTCAGTTCGATCATATTCAAGTTAAGCAGCGGGATAGCGTGGTATGAGAAAGAATGGTGCTGTCATAGGATTGAAACGACACAGTGACAAAATATGAAATACATCTTTTTATTATTTAAACAAAATAATCAAACATTAGATTGTCTAAACCATTTTAATAAGTCAATTTATGGAAATTCAACAGAAAATATATCATATATAATAATTCGCCAAATAATCACTGAATCACTTTTCAATGATTAATCATTACTGTTTCTTTAGAAATTATCAGTAATTTTTAATTACTAGTTTCTTTAATAATTACCATTTATCATTACTGTTTCTTCAGTAATACTTTTCTATAAAGATGTAAATATGCGAGTAATGACTAACATCCTGAGTAGTTCTGATCGGCTTGAAAATTCTTTGTGAAATTAAAAATGATGGAATATTCGCGTAACTGCGAAGAAGTATGCAATTACTATGTAACTATTGTTCATACGTAAACATTTCCTCTGGTACTACAAGCGTTAATACTAGTTAGAATATTCCTGCCAAGTTCAATCGTGCAAACACTTAAAAAATCTACCTGTGGAGTTTAAGCGATGTTTGAATACTTCACAATTAGTTGAAAATTATCACCGTAGTCTCAAAGCCCTGATTACTTGAGTAGAAATATAACTAGCCGACCTTATTTAGAAGCTGATAAATTAATTAAAGCTGACTAATTAATTAAAGCTAAATTAAATTTTCTAGATCGTTACATTGATTATCCACTGCAGTGCAGAATCAGTTTTGTGATCTAGCCATTGCCTGGCAATATCAAGTATGACAGATATGACGCTATCTATTCTAACATGTATAATTTATCTGCCAAATTTTAGACATAGTTCTTAACGAAACCTTTATATTTTCGAATAAAACGAGATAATTTTTTTTCTTTTTATATTTTTATTTGTTATATAGACTGAAATAACGCGTCTTCGCGTTTAAAACAAAATAATCCAGCTACTATACTAGACCGCTACTAGCATTTGGGGGAGAGGGGAGGGAATTTAATAGTAAATAAAAATTGAGTATACATTATTTTATAACAATCCAAAAAACGCAGAAATGAATGGCTTAAATTAGTGGCTAACAATTAATTATAACTTTTTATTTCATAACTTTAGTGTTTCTTTTGTCTAATCATCTTTTCATTTATTTATATATTACACTCAAGAAAATATCTAATCTTTAGCAGAATCCTTTTATGGTAAGAGGTTTCTAAAATAAAAGAAAAGTATTCTTATATCTAAAAAATTAATTCTATATTCTAGTAGAAACTTTTACCGAAAGAATATTTCTTTCCTTAGTAAAGAGCAATAATATTGTGTTTGGAATATTTTCCTTTTGTTTTTAGAAAAATCCTTATGAGACTATATATATTCTGCTCAGGAGGAGATTATATTTTTTTGAATGTAGTATATCCACTAGTAGAGTGAGTACAGTGAGAAAAAAATTTTGCTTATTTAATAAAATATCAATATCCACAACAAATGATATTATTGATATAGGATGGCAAATGGCACCGTAGTGGGAACGAATAATTTATTATTTTCAACTTGCTGCTGTAAGCAACACTTCTGTAATGAAAACATAATCTAACTCTAACCTAAACAGATATGTCACTGGTACCTCAGACAATGTATGTTTATTAAAATGACAAATGGTGAGAAATGATTTGCTACGGTAACTGTTCGATCTGTTTTTCTAACGATCATCAAACAGTAAGCGTGCTTTTATTTTGTTAATAAGGAAGGATAACCGAAGGATTTTTCTCAGTGTAGTATTCCACTAGGAAGAGTGAACGTTATATTGCTGGCTAATAGCGACGTCAGATCCAATTAACTACCTTGTGGTTAAGTAATCACGAGGTTCAATTTTTATTCGGGTAGGCATTGTCGTATGGCGGGGCCAATGGGAAACTTTCTTTCAGGCCCTCGATCGGCTGGTGATGGCCGAGGCCGACAGTGAGGCGGCCCTAAGGAGCAAAAGGACGATCGGCATCCTACGACAGTTCTTCCCAGAGATCTCCCAGGTGAGCAGACACGTTGTCGATATGAAACAAGTGACAGAAAAATCCTGCAGAAGGCCAGGACCAGATTGACACATGAACGCGTGATCTAAACGACGTTTCATGAACGCGAGGTTGTGCATAAATTAGTGCTCACACAGTTATCACCTCGCTCGAGTCGAGTTGCGAGCACTCGCAACTATCAAGGAGTAATACGACATCCTTGAGAACGCATCCCCGCCTGACCCTCACTCGATGCACCTTCGACAGTCGCTCACCTCGAGAATAGGATTTCGCCTTCGCGTCGTGATCTTTGCGGATCCGCGCGGTAAAGCGATATACCCCACTGCTGAATACCTCAGCCTTTTAACTCGACATTCTTACCGAGAAAGTGACGCATGCGATTTGTGAGTCGGCCACTACCTGGCTTATGGCTTACCCTTTGCTCATGCGCTTGGGCTCGCGTACGGATCGACTTATTTCGGATTTCGATCCAGACGGGTTTTTGCTCCGCGTGGAAATGAGAACGCGGAAGCGTTCAGGGTTGCACGTACACACTGCATCATGTATGCATCATGTATTATTGTAATTAAATAATTTACTTGCACGATTTTCTGCCTTACGCTTCGTATAATTGTATAACGTCCATAGCACACAGAAAAACTTGAGACTCCTAACACGGTATAAGAGATTTCTGACAAATGAAAACAAAGAACAATCGTTATAGAAATTGCTTTGACCTTGCGTTGCTCTTGGTTTAGCTCTTATACTTGCTTTGGCTCTTATAAGTACGTATTCTACAATATAAACAATTGTCTGTCTTAAAAGGATGCTGCGACATAACGCAGTTTCGTATTTTGCACTATATTTCCACTTGTATAGAATTGCAAATATTTATACGAGGTGTACAAATGTCAATGAATATTAGATTTGGTTTCCGGGTTTGAGCCGCGTGGATTCATCTTTGATTCCGAAGTTTCGCGAACATTTCAATCCGCTTCATCAGGGAGGAACGACCCGATGTCCTGAAAAAATCAAATATCAATGAATAACAGAGTAGCTCATATTTTATATAAAAAAATATATATAAAATTATATTTAAGTAATTTTCTAAAATTATATAATCTTTCATAAAATGCGATAAAAGAAACCACTTTAATGAGATTTTTACAGTGGTAAAATTTTCCCTTAAGCAGTTAAGCAACGAATTAGTTTATCATAGTCGAGAATTTCAACATAGTGATAGTTAGTCTAGTTCTTGATAATTCTTCAGTATAGTACAGTATAGTCAGTCAACGTGCTTACTGCTTAAGTTTCACTGGTTAAATTTTGTTATTTATCACAACTTGAAATAGTCAATAATGCTAAGCCATACGCGATGCAGTGTGTCCGAGTATTTTCGTTGTGATGTTCCTCGACTTCATCGAGAAATCGTTTATTTTTCCGTCTCTCCTATGAAGTGGCCCTGAGCCTCGGTATTTGACTTCGCGCCAGTTAGTCGGACAATCTTTTTTTCGCAAAGCCCGTGTCGTTATTGTAAAGTAAGTTTCGTTAATATTTAAGGGAAGTTTCGTTAGTGCTTCTTTCCCAATAGAAATTGCGCCACACGAAACAATTGCTCGTCAACAGTAGCAGAGACGTGCCACTCGCAAAAAGCGGACATTCTTGGGAAAGTCGCGTTCTTACGTTTGAAATTCCTGCCAGTTGCGCGCCTATTGAATCACCCAAGAATAACTTCCTAATTTAACTAATAATGCGCTGATGTTTCTTTTTTCATCTCGTTAGCAACCGACAATGCTGGTTGTTGTTGGTCTTTTCCCGCATGCAGTTGCATGTCACAATAATGGCGATCAACTTCTAATAACGATGTTTACAAAAGAGCGCGAGCCGCAAAATTGGAGCTGAAATGTCGAAATTTCCCGTCGGGGGATTTCCCACCGCCACGGTGCGACTATAGACTTGTATACATAGACTGAACGTTCCAAAAAAGGCTATAAAGATTTGACCAGAAAAAAATGTCCATAGATTTGTAAAATAGACTGCGTGCTCTTACAGACGACTATTGACAAAAATTGAAGAAATATCCCCCAAGTCAAATGCTTCCTTTGTCACACAGCACTCTGGGAAGGAGTAATGCAGGAAAAACAAAAGAGAAAGTGGAAGAAAGAGAGGATATATTGATTATATCGCTTCTTCTCCTTTGCTTTCCTCACTAACTATACAATTAGATAAGAAAAGTATCTTATTCTCTCTTGCTCTCTTTTGTTAATGCTGACTTAATCCGTCCTATAGCAATGCGCGATATATTCTGCAGTGTTGAAAAAAAGATTTAAGAGACTTATAGGTTAGGTATTACTCATTAAAATGAATAAAAAATGTTGGTAAACATAAATCGAAAAATCAACTCTTTCGGATTTAGAAGCGATTTCCGATTTTGATAATGTACATAATTTGTTTGCTTATATTATTTTACAAGCGACATGGAAACAAAAGATTATCCTATAAGATGCTTATTATTGTTTACAAAATATGTTCGAACTCTTCTTATATAAGTAAATATACTCAAAAGATACACTCCGATTTCTTTCTAATTTGGCATAAATGTAGAAGTACAAAAAATATTTAATAAAATATAGGTCATATTTTTTCGTTTTGGCCCACTTTGAGTTTCATGGGCAGTTTACAGCTTTTTAATCAATGACAAACGGAGGAAGGTTACTAACAAATAAACCTACTAAATATGGAAGTAGTACCGAGCAGCGTTCTCAGTAACGTGCGCAACCAAACAAAACGATAACGAAAGATAATATGGTCCAATTAACAGTTTAAATATGACCGTATATTTTACACAAAAATTCGTATGTGCCGCCGGCATCTTCCGCACAGATCTTATCGCTTGCCATCGACGAATTTTGTCATGATAGCGACCGATTACTACTGCTGGCCAAGAAAACGTTTATATGATCGCGATTAATAACTGCTAGATAGTGAAATCATGTATATGTAACAGCGGCCGTTTTATTGCAAATTTTATTGCAAATTTAATTTATTTGACAAAATCTATGCGGAAGATACCGGCGGCACGTATGAGTCTTCGTGTGAAACATACGGTCGTGTCCAAATTGTTAATTGTATCATATTATTTTTTTGTTAATATTATATTGTTATCTGTGTGGTATACCCTTTGGTTCTTCCCAGAAGGCTGAGAGAATCCATGAGGATTTTCATCCTCTTAACAAAAAAAAAAATTTAGTTTTATCTCCAATCTAAAATTTAGTTCTATCTCCAGTAGTTACAGAAATTGCAAAAAGAAAGTGAAATTTTGAAGGATAGTTTCAAATCTATTGCCGATAAAAAAATATGGGTTTCTTATTTTTTGTCACTCTATAAATATGCCAAGTTTCATCGAAATCGGAGACACACACTTCGCGAATGTTCCTTGTAAATATTTTATACTCAGTTCAGTAAATATTATTATCCTATAAGTCTTAAAAACTTTTTTTAACATCTTGTATATGTTTATATGGATATCCTGTCAGTGCAAGATTCGATTTAACGTGATGCCTTTGAACGTTACCTTGAACTTTCTCCAATAGAAGTCAACAGGAATGTCTGTGGACAGGAAAAAGGCATATAGTTGTTTTTTAAATCTTGTTTTTAAATCTCTTGTAAGAAGATTCAATCTATGTACATAAATCTATGGGCACGACGACGTCCTTGCACACACATAGCGGTCAAACATCCAAAATGACAGTCGACGCGTCGGTGACAGAAAAATAACGCGAAGATAGGGATAACAGGTTGCCTCGTAGGGATAACAGGTTGTTTTCTGACTAGAAAGAATTGACATAGTCGCTTGGAATCTTGCCGAGGTACGCTTCATCAAGCGTCCAATGTTGCGTAAGGACGGTGAAACTAATTCCTCGTGACTCATAGCGTGTTCGTAAGAGAGCCCGGTAGAAAGACTGTCTAGAGGGTACGACAAGAAACAATAACATAAAAACCAATCCACGATCTCTCGAAGCCTTTGACGCCATCCACTCGCACTCGCGTTCATCATTGAATATCCATTGTTTAGACGGACGTTCGCTCGGACATAAAGAAACGAAAAAACAAAAAAAAGAAAACAAAATCCTCGCCCAGATCGAGACAGGTCGCGCGAGGTCATCATCATTCATAGACAATAGATCGACGCTCACTGCCGTCGCATCGATATCAATCATATCACCTTGATCACATTGATCACGGCCATAAAGCGAAACATCTCGAAGCCCTGCAGTAAAAGAAGAGAGATCGAGCTGTCGCCGTGAGTTGAGAGACAAAGAGAAAGAGGGAGGAAGCCTTTCAGCTACGGCCTGTTGTTTTTTAGAGAATAGAAGAGAAGGTGAACATGATTGTTGCGGAAGTCATTCGCGCCCTTGGTCCACTTGTCCTCCGAAATCTTCTCGGCGGCAATAACGGAGGCAATAACGGAGGCACGACCACCCAAATCGAAGGGTCGCTTTTCGACGACGATGACGACGATGACGACGATGACAACGACGATAAGGACAAGGACAAGGACAATAGCGACAATGGCGACTCAAACGTCTCGTTAAACTCCAGAGTGTCGATCGCACTGCCGACGTTCTCACCGGACGAGGATGATACGACCGATGCGCCGAACACCACCTCAACTACCACTACTACAATGATGGCGGTGGTGGACCTGGGCGACATAGACGAAGCTGCTGCGACGACTACAACAACAACATCGACGACGGCGGCGACTACAACGGCCGCTGCCGCGGCAATAATACCACCGGCGGCTGACAACGAAGTCACCACCACGCTGTGACCGTTCGTGGTCAACAGCTCGGTAAAACTTTCGAGCAAGGTCATGATCTTGAGGAGTATTCACAACCAGGCGGGATTACCGCGCACTCAGGACTGCCGCGGCCATGGTGTCCGCGTATACATTGTGTGTGCTTAACCACTCATTGGGTGTCCGTGAGAGCGAGGATTATCGTCGAGTTAATTGGCGA